AAGAAACAGAACTACTATAAAATTTTAGAAATAAATAGGTGATCAGCTGAATGCCACATGACAAGATAATAAGGACATAGTTTGTGAAACATCTTGACACGATGGAATATGCCATCTCTTTTTCTTTGAGGATTTAAGCAAAACTGGCAACGTTGGCTTGGAACATATTATACATTTTCCTAAGGGTAAACATCCTGTGGTCGGTGCAGTGTCAGATAACAATATACCAAATATAATCCACGAGATTATCATGTTTCAGATGTGTAACAAGCTACAAAATAGCTTCCATCTACAGTAGAACAGGACAAAAGTACTACTACCTTCATAGATGTCCACCAAATGGTAGCAATGGTATATGGCTGTAAGTATGGACTATAACTGAGTAGTACCTGGCTTTCCCTCACTCTTGGCCTCTACTTTCTGTAGTGTTCAGCTGCACTCACAGTCATAACAAACCATTTACAACCTGCAAGACTGCCACCTGCCATATATGTCCACAAGGCAGCTGTGGGCCAGACACTGCTAGTAGTCCCCAGCCTGCTCCGGTCAGTTGTAGCTGCTTGGGGTCATGCTTTCTCTGCACCTCAGACTGTGCTGTGTAATGGACTTCCAGAGGATATGTGACCCGGACCTTGACAGGTTGCAGAAGCTCTGTAAAGCACAGGTTCTTTCTTAGGCCTTCAGCAGCCCATGAGTGACAGCTGCAGTCTGTTTCCTTTTGTTGGCATTTTTTATGGCTCCATCATCAACCAAAAGAGAGACTGCAACTGAGAAATCAGAAGGAGGCTGAGACTGGGAAGGGTAACCATGAAGGAACTAGAAAAGATTCTTATGGGTATGGATGTATCACTGGCAACCAATGTTCCCCGTAAGCTGTAGAGCCTTGTGAGCAAAAAATTCTACTTTGTGAGCTGTTAGCATTAAAGTTGTGAGCAAGCAACTTGGCTACTGCATACATTAGTTTGCTCCGGAGCCCTCTTTCCTGAGCCAAGACAAAAATGTGTGAGCTGGAGGCTAAGAACCTGTGAGCTAGCTCACACTAACTCAGCTTAGAGGGAACACTGCTGGCAACCAAGACCAAGTCAATTCATACTCCCTATTACTATGTATGGGTGTGAAAATTGGACAGTGAAGAAAGCTGACAGGAAGAAAGTTGATTTGTTTGAAATGTGGTGTTGGAGTGGAGTTTTGTGGATACCATAGACCACCAAAAAGACACAAATAAGCGGGTTCTAGAGCAAATCAAGTTTGAACTTGATTTTGTCAAATCAAGGGAATTTTCTTAAGCAGGACTGAAAACATAGTTCTTGCTTGTGAAAACTAGCATGATAGCTTAGTTATGTAGTTATTTACTTATCGTATTTATAGCCTACCTTTGTTTACAAATGAAAAACTCAAGGCTACTAAGATACACAGATTGAGAACAATAGAACAAAGTTTGAGTCCAATGGCACCTTTAAAACCAACAAAGCTTTATTCAAGGTATGAGCTTTTGTGTGCATGCACACTTCTTCAGATACAGTGAAATTGAAATTACGCCATACGTACAGCTAGAGAGTGTGCAGCAAATTAGCATACAACATAGTGAAGCTGTTTTAACAGCTGCAAGGACCAAACAGGAATAACAAGCTGAGCTTATGTCACCATTTGTTTTGATTTAATTTCAGGGGAAAACATGGTGAAGCAAATAAATCTATCAAAACTGGAGACTCTGGCCCCGGTCACACAGAGCATTAGGCACGCTAGAGAGATGGAAGATAGATGGATTTTCCGGGCGCCATCTCACCGCCACATCTGGGAAGCGTAGAGCTCCTGAGGCTAACCCGAGGCTTCACTCCAAAGATGCGCTGTAAAAAACTAGTACCTCCGAGGTACTAGTTTCCGGAAACCGTGGGGCAAGGGCGGGCGTCAGATCACGTTTCCGGTGGTAGCTCGTGGCATCCGGCGCCCACTCATGTCCCGTCGCGAAAAGTTTTTTTTTTTTGGGTCAAGTCTCCACAGGTGTGCACAAGCACCCAACGGCGCATGCGAACACTTGGGTT